GATAGTGGCGCTTCCTAGCATGACCCCTCGCGCGGACTTGCTCAACGAACTTGAACCGTCCCTGGTGAAGCGTATCACATCGGCTTTGGGGCAGCGAGCAGAGGTGAAAGGCATAGGCAATGCCATGTTCAAGGGTGCTGATGGGAAGATGGTGGGCCTAAAGAACATGCTTTGGATGCCCAGCCTTGCAGCCAACCTGATTTCCGTGCGGCGGTTGCAAAAGGCCGGCATGGACACGAGCTCGAAAGGAGCCAAGATTTACATCGCAAGACTTGGCGAGCGGATTCTTTTAGACCTCCACGAGGACAAGGATGTTTACAATGAGATGTGGCAGATCTCTGTGGTCCCAATGCCTAAGAAGAGGCAAGTGTCAGCACCAAGGGTGAAGCGGTTGGTAGCGTCGATGGCACCAATGATGGTGCCAAGAAGAACGAGTCAAAGAAGAGCAATCTTGGAGGGTCCAGCAAGTTGTATGATCATAAGGAGAGCAGTGTAGCAGCAAAGGAGCAACAAAAGGGTGAGGAGAACCCCAAGGCACTAGCGGAGGAGGAGCACGGAGAGAGCATGTGGGGCACTATTGCGAGTGCGGCATTCTCCAATCCGACTTCGGCTACGGGGGAGTGTAATTGTTTGACTTTGCATCGGCGAATAGGGCATGTTGCCCTGCCCATCTTGCAGCAGCTAGTGAAGGAGGGAGATGGTTGCTGGCATATGAGTGAAGGGGGAGCCCAGTGAGGTACTTGGCTGTCCGACGTGTATGCAAGCCAAGTCCACTCGTTTCCCGTTCTCTAGTTCGGAGGCAACGGCTAAGGCACCACTTGATGGGGTGGTGATGGACGAGGTGGGCCCATTGAAGCTAGAAGCTGCTGGAGCAGAGCATTTCCTCACCATTATCGACATCTACACCCGAATGACCTGGGTGTACGTGCTGTCTAAGAAGAGCGACGTGGCTGAAACAGTGAAAACCGATTGGTGCGATGATGGAGTGGCAACAAGACCGGCTTGTGAAAGCAATTTGCACCGATCGAGGGGGAGAGTTCCTGAGCAAGGAGTTCTCTATGTGGCTGAAGAAGAATGGTATAAGGCACTCCATTACCATGCCATACTCCCCTGCAATGAATGGCATCGCCAAGCGAGCGAACCAGACAATCACGGAGACGGAACGCGGGTTGCTCATTGAAGCCGGGCAACCCGACTACTTCTGGCCTGATCCGGTGCGGAGTGCGTGTGTGGCCAAGAACAAAGCCTTGACTCATGGGGGAGTAAACAGATAGGAGCCCTATTTGGAGTGGATTGGAAGGAAGCCAAAGGCGGATATGCTTCGGGTGTTCGGGCGCATGTGCATGGCGCTCGTGCCTAAGCATCTTCAGCACAACAAGTTTGGTGCCAAGGCGATATGGGCTGTGCACTTGGGCATGGCTCAAAGCAGAAAGGGATGGATTTTTCGGGACCCATTCACCAAGAAGCTATTGGTGAGCAGGGACTGCAAGTTCATGGAGAATCTGATGTACAAGGACTGGAAGGCGGAAAACGAGGCTAAGATAGGAGTGCGGTTTGGGGATCTGAAGATTTCTGATTTGGAGCATGTGGAGCTGCCTTTGGAGCTGAGCAGCGGCAGCACTATCACAAGGTAATTTCTTCTTCTGAATAGGGGAGAGCAGGTCAGGAATGGAGAGGAAGAGGGGGAGGAGGTGCAGCAAGTAAGCGAGCGTGCACCGACACTTCCTTTTCGCACTACGAGTGCTCCACGGATTTGGGTCACTCCGCAGCAACGCCAAGAGAGCCTTCAAGTCCCTGTAGCTGAGGAGGAAGGATGGGGTAAGAGGAGAGTTCAACCTCCCAATCAGCTGGCGTATGATGCGCCAGGGACGCCAGCCAAGTCAACCATGGCCGGAGCGTCAATGATGGTAGGAGATGACGAGGAGAGTGACTACGATGAGTGTGCGTTCGCGTTCTTCTCTTTGGAGGAGATGCCCGGGGAACCAACAATTCTCAAGGAGGCCTTGGAGAGTAATGATGCTAAGGAGTGGAAGAAGGCAATGGAGAGCGAGCTGAAGAGAATCGAGGAGAACAACAGGTGGGAGTTGGTGGAGCTACCGGAGGGGCGCAAGGCGATTACGTCCAAGTGGCTCTTCAAGATCAAGTCTGACGCCGACGGCAAGATCGAGAGCTACATGTCTAGGCTTGTGACCAAGGGGTACTAGCAGAAGGAGAAGGTGGAATTTAAGTAGTTGTTTGCTCCTGTAGTGAAGCCGACGACGCTGCAAAGCCTACTCGCAGGAGCTACCAACAAAGTATGGGTGGTGAAGCAAATGGATGTGACGACCGCATTTCTCAACGGCATCCTTGAGGAAGAGATTTTTATGGCGCAACCAGAGGGGTTTGATGATGGGAGTGGCAGAGTGTGGAAGCTGAAGAAGGTCCTCTATGGGCTCAAGCAAGCCCTCGGGCAATGAAACTTGAAGTTTTGGAGGAGATCGGCTTCACTCCCTCGACGGCCGATCATTCCTTGTTCATGCTTGGCGAGAGGGAGAAGAGGAGGTTCATGGTGGTCTATGTGGATCACATCCTTATTTTCTCACCCTCCTCTGACATTGTGAAGGAGGTGACGCTGAAGCTTAAAGACATGTTCTGGTGCAAGGGCCTTGGTGACGTGAACTTATACCTTGGGCTTCATACCGAATACGACGTGGAGAAGCGGTGCATGCGAGTGCACCAACGAAAGTATGTGGAGGCATTGGCTGCCAACTTTGGCCAGAGTGAAGGCCATGTGGCTACTCCCTTTCCCTCTGGGTTCAAGTGTGTGAAGGGACCGGAGGAGTAGAGCGTTGGCGAAGAAGAAAGGCACCATTTTCACTAGCTGGTGGGCAGCCTCATGTACGAGGCGGTAAAGAGCGGACATCGCTTTTGCTACTGGGCAGCTGGCTAAGGTTTTTCAATGAACTAATGAGGAGCAGGTAGCAGCTGGAATGAGGGTGGCCAAGTATCTTGGCCAAACAGCGACGGTTGGGCTGCAATACTCGGCGGCGGCACTAAGGCACCAAATGGGTGCGGATGGTGTTGAACCCGGGTGTTTGGTCCTCACAGCCTTCTCCGATGCCTTCTATGCATCAGAACAAGAGGACATGATATGTGTGGGAGGCTTCATTTTCTGTGTTGGTAAAGGCCTAACTGCTTGGGAGAGCAAGAAGCACGTGGACCAAGCATAGAGCACGGTGGAGTACAAGTACATGCCATACGGGGGATTGTGTGGCAGCGGCGTTTGTTGGTTAAATTGGGGGAAGAGCAGCAAGGACCTACACCACTCCATAGTGTAGAACTGCCTGTAAAACAGTCAGAGTTACTGTAGACTGAATGTAAATCAGTTAGAATAAGGGAATGTAACCCTTATTAATCAATCTTGTCATTTACATCCACTATGCACAAGGTTCCTACCACAAATCTTCCGCTACCGAAAATCCCTAAGGCAATTCTATCCTATCCAAGATCTTCACTCTAGCATCTCTGGTAGGTAGGTATGAAGTCACTAGGTAAGACATGAATTTTCCTTTTTTTTCGATTTTCTTCATGTGACGAGACACTCTCAGTGCCATTCTACTCTCTTTTCTTGTTTCTTATGCAGCATTCCTGAATTCAATTTTGAACTATTTTTGGCGATCATAGTAACTCGTTTGTCAGAACCATATTGTAGGCTGTAGTGGGGTTGACAATATGGGGTACAACTCTTTTAGGTTTTCATATTTGTACCCACCTGCTTCCAACTTGATTCATTCCCTCGTTCATTCTTCACATGGTATAGAGCGGGTTCCCTAGTGGGACCGTTTTTTTTTTTTTAAGGGCCCACCACTTAATATTTTTTCTGCCCTGCCCAAAGCACGCTCCCTGCCCTGTCGAGCGCATCGCACCTGCCCTACCTGCGCCCCGTGCGCCTGCCTCCCTTGCGCCCCGTGCGCCTACCCTGCCGTCGCGGCCCTTTCTAGAGCCGTCGCGGCCTTGCAGTTGCAGCCCCTGGTCGTCGTGCCCCCTGCCGTCGCGGCCCCTGCCGTCGCGGCCCCTAGCCGTCGCGGCCCCTACCGGCGCGGCCCCTGGCCGTCGCGCCCCCTGCCGTTGCGGCCCGGGGCCGTCGCGGCCCCTGGCCGTCGCGGCCCCTGCCGTCGCGGCCCCTGCCGTCGCGACCCCTGGCCGTTGCACCCCCTGCCGTCGCGGCCCCTGGCCGTCGCGTCCCCTGCCGTCGCGGCCCCTGCCGTCGCGGCCCCTGCCGTCGTGGCCCCTGCCGTCGCAGCCCCTGCCGTCGCGGCCCCTGGCCGTCGCACCTCCTGCCGTCGTGGCCCCTCGCCGTCGCGGCCCCTGTCGTCGCGGCCCCTGCCGTCACGGCCCCTGGCCGTCCCGTCCCCTGCTGTCGCGATCCTACCGTCGAGGCTCCTGCCATCGCGACCTTTGCCGTCGCGCCCCCCTGCAGTCGTGGCCCCTGCTGACGCGGCCCTGTCTAAGCCCGTCGAGGCCGTGCTGCCCTGCTGTCGCGGCCCTCCCTGAAGCCGCCGCCGCGGCCCTTCCTACTTGTCGCTGTGGCCCTGACCTGCCGGCGCGCCTTGGCCCTGCCCTTCCAGCTACGGCCCTACCCCGATCCCGCCCTGGTAAGCGCAACGCTGCACCCGCGCCGCCCTACTCAGCCGCATCACCCTGCCGAGCCGCGCCGCCCTACCGAGCCGCGCCGCTTTGCCGAGTCGCGTTGCTCCTGCTACTACTGCTACTGCTACTGCTACTGCTGTCATGGCTACCCCTAATGTACTTTCCTTCAATGCTAAGGGTCCGGCAATTGATTTCGAGGTCTGGGTCGATGATCAGCAGCTGTTTCTGCAGTGCGATAGCAAGGACGGAGTCTCGCTTTTTGATCTTACGTCTGGCGCCTCAGCTGCACCTGCTGCTGATGCTGATGGGGGTTTGACACGCCCATCATCCATCACGACATCAAGCCCGCCAACATCCTTGTGACGGCCGACATGCAAGCCAAGGTGGCCGACTTTGGGCTGCTCAAGCTGCTCACTCATGGCGACTCCGATGCCACACGAGTGGTAGGCACTCCGGGCTATGTGGACCCCGACTACAACCGCACCAGCTTTATCACTGCTAAGAGTGATGTCTTCAGGTCTGCATACGTTGCTCTGTTTGACCGTTGAATGAGCTTACCATATTCTCTTGTAGTCCCATTTGTAACCTGCATAGGCTACACCATGCTTCTTGTTTTTGTGCTGGATAGAAGCTGGTTCTGTGCTGCAGCTACAGCTCATTCCTGAGTTTTAACTCTCAGTGGCTGATGCATGTCTCTGTCCAAGCTGGTTCTGTACTCCCTCCCTGCCCACTGCCATGAGCGCTTTCAGCTTTGAAATAGTTCTTCTCGAGTTGTTGACAGGAAAGGCACCTCGAGATCTCCTTGGTCTTCCTATCAAAGACTGGGTAATTGACCTTGTCCCTCGTCAAACCCACCCTCGCCTCCTGTCATCATGAATAAACTTATTATCTCATTCATCTGTGCTGCATTATCTTGCATAGCCTCTACTTTTGAGTAGCATATTCTCTGTATCGTCCTGCCTTGTGCTTCCTTTCCTCTAATCTTGCTGCTGTTCACTGTGTCTCCACTTGAGCATGCTGCCTTAAGTTTCATTCCTTCTTCTGTATGAATCCGTTGCCATGGCCCTTCCTGTTTCTCCACCTTCATCTGCCGTTCCTCTCAATCTTGCTCCCCTGTATCACACCTTCCCTCTATGCACACTTGGTCGCGCGGGCTCACTGCAGGTGATGAAGAAGGTGGAGGCGCACGAGTTATGCCAAGTTAATGCACGAAATGACTTGTTCCTCTACTCTTGCTGTCTTGCACAATGAGTTGTTTCCTCTCTAACTTGTTTCTTTTCAGGCGCTGAAGGAGATGGAGGCATGTCACTTGGACGAACTCAAAGAAAGCAAGCTAGAAGCAAGTGAAAGGGCTAAGTGGACTTGGCTGACCTGGCTCTGGACTGCGTCAAGTCACCGGGCACATGACGGCCTGACATGGGGGATGTTGCATACCGTCTCAAAGTGCTCATTCAGAAGCATTGCCCAGAATCGGAGGCCGATTGGGAGAGCACGGAGCAGGCAGATAACACAAGTACTGGTGATTCGTTCCCACGGTCGGAAGGTGGTTCTGCGTGCAATATTGGTGGACGAGAGTCACACATGGGGTCTCAAGTGTCTCAAGGCTCGCTTGGACTGAGCGGGTCCTCCTCGAGCCGCTTTGGCTTGGGGGTTACTCGCATCAAGAGCTGGCTGCACACCCGGTTTCAGGGACTCAGATATTAGAAGAATATAAAACAATAGCAATCTAAAAGAATGCCAGTAGCGCATCAGCCTCGTATAGACTTCCTCACTATTGCGATTCATGTGAAACGATTCTGTCAATGTTAGTTCTTATAGGCTAGAAAGGGTTAGTCTTTAGTGAGTATAACTCTTGCACCTCTGTTCCCTGTACCCCACTCTCTAGTGCAATATTCTCTCTTGACAAGGTATCGATCTATGTTAGGCTAGGTTTCTAATTAGCCAATTATCTTGCCTAGTCTAGCGCTGCCCTTAGCCAGCTCGAACCTCTTGGTATCACAAACGCCTTAGTCGGCAAAAGATACTTGCGCATGGACGATGGAGATGCGAGCAACCTCCATCACTAAGCCAATGCGGTGTGAGAATAACGAGGAATGAATGCACTAGGAAACAGGTGGGTACAAGTAGCAAAAGCTAAAAGTGTTGTACCCCATATTGTCAACCCCACTACAGCCTACACAGACTATAGCATATAAGTTTGACACACCCCCATAGGCAAAGTGGGGGAGAACAAGAGGTCACAAGACCAGTCAAGCAAAGCACAGTAAGCTCAGGGTGGATCACAACGTCACCACACATTCCGAGCACAAGTTCAAGGCCACAAGGCCAGTTCACATGCAAGATTATATATATAAAGGTAAACAAGCAAGTGCAGGTATAGATGGATCACAGTACAAGCAAGGTCAAGCAGTGAGCAAGTGAGGCCAAGTAGGCACAAGACCTAGCATCGTACAAAAGCACTGATGATCACAAGGCGGAAGTGCCTTGGTAAAGATATCAGCAGTGTTGGCCTCAGAGGCCATGTAAGCAAGGCGCAGCTGACCACGCTGCTGCAGCTCACAAGCAAGGAAGTAGCGAAGAGCAATGTGCTTCGCTCTGTGCTCCAGTCTGTGCTTCCGACACAAGGCCAGCATGGCCTTGTTGTCTACGTACAGAACTGGAGGAGAACGAGGCGGCTCTCCTAGGTCAGTCAGCAGGTCAGTGAGCCTGCGTAGCTCCTGTGCAGCCATGGCCCCTGCGTAGATCTCAGCCTCAGAGCTGGAGCCGACAACAGAAGACGAGCGGGTAGACCGCCACGAAACAGAGCCGGAACCAAGGCTGAAGGTGTAACCCTGTGACGACCGCTGCGTAGCCTGGTCGTCAGCCCAAGAAGCGTCCGCGTGCCCAGTGAGGACCACTGAACGCCGCCCTCCAAGCACTAGCCCCATGCCCGACGTACTGCACAAGTAGCGCAACACCCTCTTCGCTGCAGCCATGTGCTCTGGTCGGTGTCTCCTAAGAGCAACATAGTGTGCCAAGATGCTGAGAGGGTATGCAAGGTCAGGTCGAGTGGAGGTCATCAGGTACATGAGGCAGCCAACAAGCTCTGGGTACGGGCCACTCGGCTCTACGGACTCATCCGAAGGCAGAGCTGAGAGCGAGTGGCGAGTAGACAGAGGAGTGGCCTGAGGCGAGGAGTACGTGAAGTCGAAGCGCTGAAGGACCTGCTGCACCATGTGTGACTGAGTCAGAGTAACGGTGCGCTGTGCTCTAGTCCCGGGTGATCTGCAAGCCAAGGTAGCTGCGCAGTTCACCCAGGTCTGTGCACGTGTGTCTCTTCTGCAGCTCCGACTTCACGTGGGTGAGTCCAGCAGTGTCAGCAGTGGCAAAGACCAAGTCGTCGACGTACACGAGGATGTAGAACGGCGGCAAAGAGGTGTCGGTGCGTAGAAACAGCGACGGGTCAGCAGTAGAAGGAGCAAACCCAAGAGCCGCAAGTGTAGTCCTCAGTGTGTTGTGCCACTCAGAGGGCGCGTGACGGAGACCGTAGACTGGCCGCCGGAGGCTCCACTGGGTACCAAGAGGAAACGACCCAGTAAAGCCATGTGGGCAGCGCAGCCAGATCTCCTCGTGCAGGCTGCCCTGTAGGAAAGCTGTGCTGAAGTCAAGAGAGTGAAGCTCGTAGTCGTGCTGAGCGGCTATGTGTAGCAGCACCCGAAGAGTGGTCATCTTCGAGGTGGGAGAGAAGGTCTGAAAGTAGTCAACTCCCTGCCGCTGACTGAAGCCTCAAGCCACGTAACGCACCTTGAAGACAGGCGGAGAACCCGGCCGCCGTTTCACCCTGAAAATCCACATGCCACTGACGATGTTCGCCCCAGGTGGGGGAACCTCGTCGACATAGATGCCTGTGGACTTCCAGGAAGCCATCTCTGCATCCATGGCTGACTGCCACTGAGAGGAGTAGGGACCCTCGATCGCCTCAGCGTACGATGGAGGAGTCGGGATGTCTGGTGCATCCGGGTCTCCCTTAGGGGCAATCAGCGTGGACACGAGATGAGGCAAAGCAGCAGCAAAACATTGGAACTTCTCCTGCCTGTCCTCAAAGACGTCCGTGGTAAGAGCACACTCACCCCCGACGGACGGAGGACAGATAGACTCTGACTCAGCAACAAGACTAGCGGCGTAGTCTAGACGATAGCGAGCAGCAAAGGCGACAAACTCTGCATCTAAGGCAGACGCAGCAGTGGACTCAAAAGGAGGGTCAGTGACAACAATAGCCAGGAGACGCGTGACAGTAGGACTGGCAGCACAAAGAGAGTCAGACTCCGGGTCAGCAAGAGTAGGAAGAGAGGACTCTGGAGGAGACGGCAACGGGACACGCTAAGGAGTAGTGGAAGGACGCAGTGCCATCTGGTTTGTGCCCGGGACGGCAGGAGGACGCGGACGCGGAACACGACGACTAGTACGAGCAGCACGAACAAGCGACGCAGGACGAGACGCAGGCTCACGACGCTCAGCAAGACCTCCAGTAGGACCAGTGTAGGGAGAAGGAGCAGGCTGTGGGGAGGCGGGCTGTAATTGTGACTCAGACTGGACAGGCGGCGGACACTAAAGGAAGGAGCAGGACCAGCAGAAGGCGGGAGACGAAGAACCCGCTCAATAAGCGGAACGAAGTACGGCCGCGGCCGCGAAGCGCCTCCAGAGCCAGCAAGGACAGCACCAGCACCCCCAGCGGCAGCACCGCCAACCCCAGCACCCTCAGAAGCACCACCGCCAGCAGCACCTCCACTGCCAACACCCCCAGCAGCTCTAGCTCTAGTCGGACCACCGGAAGACTCAACAGCCACAGCTCCAGCACCTCCAGCAACACCCGCTCCAGAAGCACCGCCAGCAGCTCTAGCACCAAGAGCACCCCCAGGCCCAGCAGCTCCTGTACCTCGAGTACGAACACCTCCGGGACCCGTGGCACCAACACCTTCAGTAGCAGCAGAACCTCCATCTCTAGCAGTACCTCCAGCTCCAGCAGCACGGCTCCAGCGCCGAGCAAACTACTCGCGCAGCTCCTGTGGAGAGGGAAGCTCCCGCCGGGACGAAGCACCCGAGAGACCTCCAGACCCAGTACCGTCAGACTCCATACGAGCAGGCCCTGCACCCTCAGGCTCCGCACCCTTAGGCTTAGCACCCCCAGACGCAGCACCCCAAGGCTCAACACCCACAGGCTCAGCACCCCCAAGCGCAACACCCCCACTCTCAGCACTCCCAGGCTCAACACCCCCAGGCTCAGCACCCCCAGGCTCAGCACCCTTAGCAGCACCAGAGTCAACAGCTACCTCGACAGGCTCAACTGCGTTTACCTACGACACACCTGAAGTGCCGGACCCTGAGGGGGAAGGGGGTCTACCGGAGGGGGACCCGGCACAAGGAAGAGCGGCGGCGGGGGGAGGGGCGCAGTGCGGTAGGGAAAGAGACAGTAGCAAGGAGCCAACTCGTCAAAAGTGAGGTCCTGGGAGGACAGAACACGGCGCGAGGTGGGGTGGTAAAACTGCCAATCAGGCGCGTCAGGGGGGAAGCCAAGGAAGACGCAGGGAACAGCACGGGGGGACAGCTTGTCCGCGGACTAGTCGCGAACAAAAGCCCGAGATCCCTAGACACGAAACGCAGACGCATCGCCAACCTTCCCCGTCCACCGCAGAGTAGGGGAGGTCTCTGGCAAGGAGACCCGGGGCTGAAGGTTGATCTGATACGCCGCGTACTGAACCGCGAACGGCCACAGAAAATGGGGGGCAGCCGCATGGATCATGGACGTACGAGCGACGTCCATGACCATGCCAATGCGGCGCTCGGCAATCCCATTTTTCTGTGGAGCGGCCGGAAGCGTGAACGTCTAGCGGATGCCCTGTCCACGACAAAAGGCTCCCAGAAGGTCAAAGGAAAACACTCCGCCTCTGTCAGAGTGCAGACGCAGAACAGGAAAGTCCGAGCCCGAACTCTCTCTGAGCTGGAGACAAGCTGCGCGGATCCAGTCGATCAACACGTCAGTGACGTCACCCTTGCGGCGCAAGGGGAAGACTGTGGTGTAACGCGAGTAGTCGTCAACCACCAACAGGAACTAACACTCGTGACCCTAGCCACGGACGCGGGCGAGGCCCCACACGTCCATGTGAAGAGTCTGCAGCGGAGCCTCGGTCGGACGAAACTCGGAGGAGTGAGGAGCGGCGCGCTGCCGCCCCTCGACGCAGGGAACGCAGGTAGGGGCAGGCCCCGGAGGGAGG